TACAACTGTAGCTGCCTCCACCAGTGTGTGAATGAATAGTGGAATTGTAAAGTGCTTTGAGGTTCTCAAAAAGCACTATATAAATGCAATCCATTATTATTCTTTTCAGTTAACTTTTGTTCACATGATTTGTCTAAATTATAACAACAAAAAAAGATGTTTCAATCATCCATCCTTTACTATTTATTGATGCTGCTTCTTTTGTTTTTTATATTTTCTATATTCTTTGAGGTTTTGGTACTTGCAGTATGTTGTAGCTGTAGACAGTATGCCCAGAGAAGGGGGCATGATGTGCCAAGCCATCCATGTTAACGCCACAGCAATAAACTGTAAAATAGGTGTGATGATTTGTGGTATGTGCCGTGGGGTATTAATATAAATATTTGGTGTTGCTAATAGCAACTTCAAGTCAATACACTGAACTTATATTCAGTTTCAGATTCATAGAAACTGACTCAAAATGGGCTTAACACAGGCAGTGTCACGGGCAGAGCAAGCCTGGGATTAATTGCTCAAGTCCCACACCATTGTTTTTATTTTTGCATGATTCATTGTTGATAATAATCCTTTATTACCACAAGATTGGCCACGTTTGTCATTGGCTTTAAGATTGGCTGTCCCTTGCAAATAGAAAATTTAAACAAGTGGTTGGAGATGCAATGCTAACAGCCAGAGCTATATGCTTAAAATGACCATGTTAAGGTCATCTGCTTTTGGTGATATCATGCAGATCCAGTAGTACAGAAAATAAGGAAAGACAAAGGTATATTTTAAAGTGGTTTGGTGGGTTTCAGTTTTTTAAACACAAATAACTGACGCCACCTCTCATACAGTTTAGTTGTCTTGAATTATTAATTTCCCAGCAGCTCTAAAGAAAGCAAGTACATGAAATATGTTTTTGGCTGGAAAGAAGAGCTCCGTTCAAAATATTTTGGGTGTCTCACATACGGTCAAAGATTTTTCTCCATTGAAAGAGCTGAAAGCTTGTTTATTTGTATGCAATCCTGAGGGGCTTGCACCCTCCTCTGTCACAGTCTATCTGTGTCACACACACACCTGTCTTCCTGAGTCAGATCTGTAGCTGTGAATAATGGAAGAGTGGGCTGAGGTCAGACTGTTCAAGTGCGGGGGAAAGAGGGGAAACTCTTGCTTAAGCATCCCAGTCATATTTAATAAGTCAGAGAACAAACTCATCTTCCAAAAACTAGGCCAAATCACGCAACAATACGATATCGCCTTAGACTGCCACTTGTAACATCTGGGTGACTAAAAATTTAAGAAAGTTACCGCCATTATAAAGTTACAGTTCGTGGTTCAAATACACACCCAGTCAGCTGGGAGAACAAGTTCTGGGGAGATTTAGGGTCACTGTCTCCTCATGTAATTACTAATGATGACGATGGTGATGGTAATATGCCCTTGTGCAGAGCTCATCTGATGAGGACTGACAGGACTTGGGTTGATGCTAAACCATGGCATCAATCCATCCATCCATCCAGGTATCCTTTTCCTCCTGCTTATCTAGGGCTTGGTCGAGGTGGCAACACCCTAAGCAGCTATCAGACATCCCTCTGTAATATATTAAGTGATTTTATTTTACTAACTTATTATAGTCTATGCACAATATCTTTAATATCTGTTGCATTATTATGTAGGCAAATTGGAAAGCAAAAAATGAAGCCTGTTTCTCAGCCATTGTTGCTCAATGCTAATTCCACCACATTGTTCAACAAAGACTACTGCTGTTCTGCAGAGACCGTCATGTGTGCCTTTGTGACAAAAAAATGGATGTCTGCTGCCACTTAGTGTATATACTGTGTCATTACAACCAATAACACATTCTAGTGCACACTGAAGCTCTTGGGTGCAGTTTACAGTGCTAGATTACCATCTAGCGGACGCTATGGGTACCAGACATCTATTTTTAGTATTATTATTATCATTACTACTACTAATCATTTTACCACATGTATATATATTGATTTAACACTTTATTCTACCTGTTCAGCATGTGTGGGTGTCACAAAAAAGGACGTAGAAATAGTGGTATTCAATTTTTTCTTTATTCTGATCATCATTACAGAACATACAATAATCAACAAAGTGCATGTGACACATAAAACAGCTCAATATTCATGGAGTGACATTGTGCATTTTGTTGCGTGTATAATTACTTTTACATTTATACAAACAAAGACGTTCAAATCATACACGCTACCTTAACCTGCTTATTGCTTGTACTCCTCTGCACCCCTCTACATGCATTTCACAGCAAAGGACAAGTTGCATCTAGAGCATTACAGTTTCCAGTAGTTATTACAGGCTGCAAACCATGTTGTAGGGAGGTAAAAGTTTGTTGCCCGAGCTTTTCTCTACAATAGAAAGATACAATATGAATGTTTCATTGAGCTTTATCAATAAATCATAGTTAAAGACAAACTGGAAACCAAGAACGAACTGTTGGAGAGTGTGCGCCTTCATGAAGGTGTGCTGAGGTACATCTGCAAAGCAGGGGTGAAGATAAGGATAGTTCCCAGGATTGACACTGTTAGGAAGGCCCACAGGAAAATTCTGTCCAGCACCTGAGCCACAAATTTCCAGTCTTGTACAACCTGATGAAACAAAGAGAGACACAGAAACACAAAAGTACACAGGTGTGAGTCTGTGTTAGCGCCAAACATTTTTTTCACAGTAAAACATCCCTCATTAGTGACATGTAAATGACTCTGTGCCACTTCTGTAACAGTAAACAGATGATGTAACACGCATGCAACCCAATTCGTCCCACATCTAGTCTCCCGTTCGGCCACGCCCACCTCTCTTATAAAGTGCTCCTTTTTGATATGACGGCTGATGTAGCGAACGGAATTTGTGGCTTTCTCCAGCATTGCCAACCAAGCTTGGTTTTCATCCTCCTTCCCTCCATGGGGGCCTCTCTGCTGACCGCCACAGTGCCCAGGAACGCCCCTCCTCCCCGCACCTCGACGGGGCTTCAGCTCTGGGCTTCGCATCTCAATGTCTGGGAAGTGGTATCTGCAGATAATGACACTAAATCTGTTATTTTATTTATTTTATTTTGCATGTGTAGCTGCTAACTGAAACTGTTAGGCTTTGAAGGTTAGTTGGAAATTTTATAACTAACTCTCTTAACTCTCTCTTAACTTTAGATTTACTGTACAGTGTGGTATTGATCATTTCATGTAACATTCAAAGTTACAACAGCAGAAAAGTAAAATATTTGTTTGACTACAGCTGATCTTTGTTACCTGTCCGTGTGTCCCCTCATGCAAAGGAGTCTGGGCAGTCTCTGAAGAAAGAGGCTCTTTACCCAGGGGGCCATGGGGTGATAGGTGGCAGAGGAGCGATGGTGGACGTTAATCACAAAGACGGTGACAATAATGGAGAATGTGACAAAGATCATGATGAAGAGCAGGTACTCTCCAATTAGTGGGATCACCTGTAAATGTAAAAATGAAACAGTTATTCAGCTGTGTACAAACATCAGTAATACTTCCATCTATCCAGCTATCTTTTTTCTTCCACTTATCTGGGGCTCTGTCAAGGTGGCAACAGCCTAAGCAGATACCAGACCTCCCTCTCCCAAACCACCTCCTCCAGCTACCTCCTCCAGCTTATCCAGGGGAGCACCAAAGTATATCCTGGGTCTACCCCAGGTCCGTCCCCAGTAGGACATGCCCGGCTGTAAATGTCATTCTTTCAATCACTAACCACAGCTCGTGACCATAGGTGAGGGTGTGGACGCAGGTCGACCAGTAAATCAAGAGCGCCCCTAAACTATCTCTTCACCACTTTGGACTGGTGCAGCATCCATATAACTGCAGCAGTGGCCCCAATCTGTCCGTCACTTCCCCATTACCATTACTCATGAACAAGACTGTAGGATACTTCCTCCACTCACTAATCAGCAAAATTTGGAATATTAGCCAAATTTAAAGAAAAATTCAAGACATGTAGTAGTGGTTTAAGACAGCGGTCCCCAACCCCCGGGCCTCAGACCGGGACCGGTCCGTGAGTCGTTTGGTACCGGGCCGCGAGAGTTGAGGCTCAGGTGTGAAATGTATGGTTTTCAGGGTTTTTATCAGTTTTCAGTGTTATTTTGTTATCGTTTTTATCGTTAACTCTGTTTTGGGTCTTTTCACGCGTGTTATGAATAAATCTTCTTTTTTTGGTACCGGTACTAGTTTTATTTTGTTGTATTTATCCGCGACACCTTAAAGGCCGGTCATAAACCGTCAGGCAAAAAAGGTTGGTGACCGCTGGTTTAAGAGACCTGAGTTTGTTTCACTGGCTTTTTAGGATGCAGTGTATGAAACATAAATAAATTCTTTTGATTCCTTGTGGTAGAATTTACTTTTTCTCATGTACTCTGCAGAAGATTACAAGTCTTTTGTGTATTCTGTTTGAAAAGACCTCTGCTCAGGCTCGTGGCTACTAAATGATTGGAATTACATGACGTCATATAACTCAGTGTACCTCCTAGACTCCAAGATGTATAAGTCGTTTCACCTTAGCAACTGTATCAGGAGATTCAAGGAGCTGTTAATGAAGCAGAGACTCCACCCACCCACATGTTTCAGAGAAGAGCTTTAGTTTAACACTGTAAGATGCCAGTGTTGATGTTTAAAATACAATTTCATGCCTTTTTTTTCTTTTTTGCTGTCATGGATGAAATTTGTTTATATTTAACAAAAAATGGCTTTAAAAATATTTAATGATGAACAAAGTGCATTTCTGATGTTTTCAAAGCTTGTTAAATATAGATTTTATTCATTTGCAAAAAATACTAATTAGTCTAATAAATTTAAAAAGCATGGTACACATTTTAAGAGCTTTTATAGCATTTCTACTTACTTCTTGTTTAAACTATCCTCTGTAATAACATATTAACCCTGAATAAAACATTCAGGCAACATTATAATGGTCTATGAAATATGCCTCGTAGTGGGCTACAGACTGAAAAGTCATTGATTCTGTCATTGCCTTTGAAAGTAGTTTTTTCTGAAGGCTTTTTCGTTTTTCTCTCCTGCTTGGTTAATGGAGCTGACATGCAGTTCAAGCAGCAGGTAATTGAGAAGGTTGGGGTTGTGCTCCATTTTAATTAGAGCGTGCTGTAATTAAGATTGTAGTTAGGATAACTGAACACAGAAGAAAGAAAAGTGGATTAAAAAATAAATAAATAATAATCATAATATAGCCCAGTAAAAACTTGACTATGGAGAAACACTGACATAGATTACCCACCTTGGAGGATGAAGGGATAATTTCTTCTATGACCAACAGGAACACAGTGAGCGATACCAGCACCGATGTTGAAAGTGAAAGTTTCTCTCCTTCGTCTGATGGCAAATAGAATACCAGCACAGTAAGGAAGGACAGGCCAAGGCAGGGGATGATGAGGAAGAGGGTGTAGAACAAGGGCAACCTTTTAAGGATGAAGGAGTATGTGACAAATGGATACCAGTAAACCCCATCCCTCCTACTTCCCTTTACTCCTGTTGCATTGAGGATCTCCCATTCGCCATTATCAAAGAAGTCTTTACGATCCACGTAGTGGTCCACCAGGACAAGATCCACCATATTTCCATCATAAGTCCAGGAACCGAACTTCATGGAGCAGTTCTGTCGGTCAAAGGGGAAGAAGGTGACATCCATGGTGCAGGACGACTTATAGCTGGCGGGTGGAGTCCATGTTATGGTGCCATCCCAGCGCACAATGGCTTTAGTCATCAGTGAACCTTCAAAGCGACCATCAGCACTGGGAGAAAATGGAAAGAAATGGAAAAGAGAGAGGAAAAAAGGCTGAAGTCACAAAAGTGAGGCAAGGGAGGCAAAAAACAAAGCCACTGAGCACTGCCTCCGAATGTGGTACCAATGAGTGTAGAGTGTTGTGCAACTCACTTTTCATACAGAACAATATCAGGCAGCCATATTGTCTCCGAAGGCACTCTGATAGAGGTAATGCCCCCATAATCATCAGGGTTCCACTTCAGCTTCACATCAACCCACTCCTATAGAAACACGAACAATAACACAATGACCCACTGATACATTAAGCCTACAAGCTAAGTGCATGCAGTTTCTGCACACATGGTGCTGTCCATGGTACCATCCATGCTCAGCACCATGGACAGCACCAGGCTGCTCGCTCAGCAGGAATGGAACAGACACTAGAATATGTTTTCCACCAGTATATCTCTCCTTGTTTTTAAGGAGAAGTATACTGGTGATTTTACTTGCAAATACAATCTAAGATTGTTTATTTTTTGCCCTTGTCATTGTGGTTTAAAAAACAACTTTCTATTTCCACCAAGAGCTCACTAGCAGAATTTTTACTAAATAATTTATAATTAGAATAATTAACACTAAAGAAACTGTACAATGCAGCAGATATAAAGTAATGTTTACAATCAGGTGTAAACAGCAATAAGAATGGGGCCAATTCTTAATACTTTTTTGCTGTCCTTTTGCTGATCTGATGTCTGATATCTCTTGTAGAAAGTAACATTAGTGTGACACATTTTAAAAGATGTATTGGGAATCATTAAAAGGTTATTACTGGCAGGCTGAAAAGAAAAGAAAAAGGCAAAAGCAGTATGTAACAGTTAAAACTACCCTCATATATTATATATCTATGCATATTTATTATCTTTATCTATTATACATCTTGTGTCAGCCAATTTACTATTCACCAAGGCCAGAGATGTAATGTTCAGTGAGTCCAACACAAGTTTTAGAAGATCATCTCTCTCTGTAGCGCAGTCATTCAGGATCCATCCTCCTCTTAAATGTACTTTGAACCTCTCCAAATATAATAAAATATACAAAAGCGAAATTTAACAATGTGTTAAAGATGGACACATTTCTTGCCTCTCCTCACAATGTGCCTCTGGAAATATGCGTAAATGGAAAATGTTTTATTGAGATTCATGTGCTCAAGTTTTATTGTCTTTTAAAAATAATAATAAGAAATCGATAATTACTCCATAATAATCATTATTTTATATACACGCAATGGTACATTTATACCTTTATTTAATCATGTAGTCTCACTCATTTATATCTTCTTGTCCACGGACACCAAAAAAAAAAACCCTTATCAAAATATAAATAATAACAGTAAAAATGAGCTTACTTCAAGAAAACTGAAAATTAAAGATCTTATAATCTGTAAGCAGTAGAGCTAGTATTCACCTGCCAGAGCCAAACATTTGTAGTCATAAGCTGGTTCTTTTCATCCTGCAAGACAAAAAAATAATAAAATACCAAGTTCATTATTTATAAATCTACTTACTTGAAATGATAAGTGAAGCTAATGAGGAGGTGAGCAGCAAACCCAAAGCTGGAGACAAAAAGCTGAGTGGCATTAAAGAAAGGACATAAGCCTAAAAAGGTTGATGGGTTAATTGCTTCTTCAGCTTCCTACTTAATAAGTGCAGTGGAACAGCTTTTGGGGTCTCGCACATATTTTAGAGTTTCTCACTTTTGAGTACAAACAATATTAGACCAAAAAAAAGAGATGGTTTACTATTGCTGTGATCTTACTCCTATCTTGTGCTATACAAAATAATGAAACCCACTGTATAAAAACACATTTGAGAGGATGGTAGAGGATTACCAGGAGAAGGTCAAAGACAGAATACATTTCATGTGAGTTTGAGAGCAGAAAAAAGTATTAAGAAAGATGCAAATCTATGAAATCGATTTTGTCTACTCTCGTGAGCTTGTGAGGCATACCTGACTGCAACATTTAATTAATTTGGTATAAATATTTGCAGTTTAGACAGAAAACCAGAAGATGGCACTCTTCTAAATGTTATCTTTTCAGGGAGAAGTACAAATGTGAAATGCTGATGTAGTAAAACTGTTGCCCTCTTTAGACTTGGGGCAAGCAGCTTTGTGAGCGCATACTTGTGTGAATAATAAATGAAATCTGATTCATCTCAGCTTGATGGCCTCATTACTTCCTCTTCTACTACACGTACAAGTCCACTTTGGACTTCAATTTTAGTCTTTCTTCTTTTCTCTTTGTTGTTACTCTCTCTTCCTTTTGAGGTCCTTTAAATCCCTCTCGACACCCTTCTCCTTGTTTATCCTCACTGAAGGCTTCATCTCTACAATAGTTCGTTTTTTACCTCCATATATAACATTTACACCTATTGTATGCTCCATCTGTCTATTGCCTCGCTTACCTATCTTCTAGTTCCCCTGCTGCTGTCTCTCCTCTTTTCTTATTTCCACACACTCCTCTCTTGTTCCTGTGAATAACCCGTTTCTCCTCAGACGATTATAACAGGATTGTATTAACCACATTACATATTAATCTATGTTAATTTATGCAGAGTCACAGACACAGCTGTGTATTCACCTGAATCTACTTTGCTCAAGAATTTGATCAATACCAACTGACAAAATTACCCAAATCCTTGTAATTGTAACCTAATATTATATAAAAATATTGAGTAGAGTACGCAGTGTCAACAAGCAGAGGCAATTTAACTAACTTGACATTACTATACACACTGTATACCTCCTGCAGGTTTGTGGATGTGCGTGTTATTTCCTCACCACATCAACCAGCTGTGAGATCTTTAGTCCAAAGCGTACAGTAATGGTGTCATTGGCGTGCTGAACAGGCCGCACCCACTTCTGGTAACCTCTGAAAAGGTTCCTCAGCAGAGAATCCTCCAACTCTGCCAGCGACACAAAATCTTCCTGGACTGGAAGGAGGGGAAGAAGGTAGTAGGGATAAGGCCAGAAAGGAAAAATGTAAGACTGTTGTATGTCGTGAAAAGCAGGAGCAGCTGTCACACACTTGTAAAGGAATAGATGTGCTTCTGGAATCAATGCAGATGACTACACACATCACATAATTGCTCATATTTCACACAGACTGTACCTGAACATTACATTTGACACCCCCCTTCCTTTCCTTTTGATGTGTGTAAGCACAATGATTAAACTCAGCTCTTTATTTACCTAAATTAAGGTCACTTACACTCAGTGATTTCACATTCTTTTGACCATTGTGGCTTTCAATGCTGCTCTTCTAACATGCTGTTTCATTACTGTGCAGCTGTGCAAACCTTTTATAAGACACCGCCACACTAGCAGCTTAGTAAGCCTCAAAATGATGGTGTTAATATGATGATATTTAACAGGTTTCATTTTTACAGTGTTCACATTTACACACTAACATGTCATAGCAAGTTCAGCACTTGGAATCATTTCCAGATATTTTATTTCCTTAATTGTCAAATTACTTGTGAGCCTCTAAATAGAGGCCTATGTGTAAAAATGGCTGTCATGGGCTAGCCAGTTAATTTAACACTTGTGTGGAATTAATCCACTGTGGTGGCAAAATTATATATATAAATGTCAGTGTCCCAAACTTTGTTGACCTCATTGTACATCATAAAGTGCATTACTTAAAAGTAAAACTAGTTGAACCTCTAAACAGATGGCTACTTACCTCATATACACTCAACATTCATGTGCAAAACAGATCTGCGCATAACTGTCACACTTTTCCAAGTTTTACATGTTTAAGTTATGCATGAACGAGCTCTACCACACGTCTCCGGAGTCTCAAAAATAAGTGGGATAAAAAATTAAGTCAGGGCCTTAGAGTCAGGCATGCACACACAGTCAGCCTCGGACTGACAGCTGGTCATGGCCGAGCGAATGCATCTAAGCTCCCAAGGCTGACAAGATGATCATACTGACATGATCACCTCAGACAGAACAATCGCCAGGGGAAACAAAAAGAGCTCGGAGCGCTTTGTGCAGTCAGGCACAAGACATAATAGTCAGTTAAAGAGTGACGCTCATGCTGAACAGGAAACAGTGCAATGAAGGAACCGTGCATTCATTTCAACAAGCCGGGAGATGGGTTTGTTTTTTTTAGGTAAACAGTTATAAAGAAGAACATGCAAGATTATGATGTGAATTTCAGTTTAGTTCATCTTTGCTAAAATATACGTGTATGAGTTTGAAACCTAGACTGAGTAGAAAAAAACTACTCTTTGTGTGTAACTAAGATGCAAATGACAGCAGCATTCGTTGGACGCTCAGAGCATTATGTGGTATTTGTACTTGAGAGTCACACAAGAGCCTCCCACAGTAACTCTGTGGCTTTATCAGCTCAAAGCTTGGAGCAATTGTCTGCATAAGAGCCCGATATTTGGCACAGCCTATGGTAGTGTTGCGACAGAAGCTGATAGACAGAAAAGAGAAGTTTGAATCAACAGCCTCTAAAATGAGAGGAATGCTGCAGAGGAGTGGAGAGTGCTGATAAGAGAAAGAGTGAGACAGAGTGACCCAAAGCAATTCCCCCTAGAATATAAGAGAGACAGAAACAGGGGGAAGGGGAGAGGTTGCTACAGAAGGGTACACTAACTGGGGCAAGGGGAATGAGAACAGACAGAGAAAAAGATAGAAGTGAGAAAACAAACTCCCACTTCCACTTGCATCTTAATGCAGCGACATTGCTCTCTGCTAAGCAATGCAATCTTCTTTCCGTCCTACATTTTGGTATACAGTCGTGATATAATATGTTAGCTGGAGAGGGAGATAAGAAGGGCATCCCTATTTATATAATTTTTAATAAATAATATAGGAAACTAGGTTTATTTTAGATTGCATTTAAAATGTAATCTGCAATAAGTTATTCTGTTTTTGACTATGTTTGAAATACAGCAATAAAAAAATCTCAATAATATAAAATGGCATAGTGAAGACATTTGTCTAGAAAATTTCTTGATATCATGGTGCAACACTGCATGTTGCTTTTTTCTGAGGCTTTTTGGGAGGGCCGTGGTAAATAATGATCTAGTGGCCACAATAATTCGAGCCAAAATGACTTAGCAGGCAAGAACAGCCTTGTAATGCAAGATGACTAGAGACCCGACAGTTGCAATAACAAAAGTTCAGAAGTCCTCTAAAGTGAAGAGAAAACCTGCCAGAATGACAACGCTCTCAACAGCTCGAGCTTTTATGGTAGAATGCCTAGACAGAAATCACTTGAGTAAAAGAGACTTGTGAGAGTGTCAACTCTTTTAATTTTATTTGGTCCTAAAAATCTTACAAACTTGGTTTCTAACCAGATACTTACTCTAGATTTGATTACATTGGCCTCTAGTAATTCTCTGCAGAATCTTGGAGTCCATTTAGACCGGGACATGTCCTTCAACATGCATATTAAACTAATATGTAGGACTGCTTTCTTGCATTTCTGCAATATCTATAAAAGAAACAGACTGAGTGGGTCTGAAAGACAAACAGAACTCCAAGCTCTAAGCTCACTCCATGCTTTATTGACTCCCTTGTTGATTCCTTATCAATCATCTCTGAGCCAGAACACAATAAAGAAAAAGAGGAAAATGAAAGGCTTGTATATGACTATGCATGCTGGCACTGGTAAAAATAATAAAAGCTTGGAGTCATATCATTCAGCTTAATTAAAAAATCTCGAAATGGTTTTCTACTCCCATCCCTACTCATTATCTGGTGGGTACAATCCATGCAATTCATACTGTAGGAATGTGTCTCTGTGTCACGGACAGAGAAATGGCTGAAAGAATAGCAATGATTGCAGCCAAATGCAGAGAGGTCCTTGAAGAACTTCTGAAATGGATATACCTCATGAAGTGGCGATGCTGAAACTTAAAGCATGACAGTGAAGTGAAGCATCCAGCTAGGTCAACACTTGCATGGCTTCAGGACAGGTTTCTCATCATTAACCCTACCAAGAGTCTAAACCTAACCCTATGCAATATTTGTAGAAAGACTAAAAGATGCTTTTAAAAAAACAAAAACAAATATGCAAACATTTGATAGTTATTGGTCATTAATTGAGGGAAAAAACATGCAAAGGACAAAAAAATACAGTGTGGGTAAAATGTGAAGGGTGTGTGTGTGTGTGTGTGTGTGTGTGTTTGTGCATGGACACAAAAATACCGTGTATTTTTTTCATTTTTAGATCCTCTTGTTCTCTGTTGGGTGTGCTGCCATAAGTTAAAGCACATGCTGTGTTCATACGCAGACAGATTACCTACTATTGCATCAGATCCGCACTCAGTTTGTAAAGACTTGAAATGGGACAACAACACACTCAGCTGAATCCATCTATCTCCCATCACAACAGGAAGCAGCCCATCTCGAGATCCTCATCAACAAAAACCCAGGAGCCCCTGTAGTCAAACACCACAGGGATGGATTCCTCTACAAGGGCCAACGCCCTCCCTCAGAAAGACGCTTACTGACCCTGCACTATGTGAGTGTGTGCATATTTGACTGAGCAAAGGTAAAGAGGAAAGTATTGATCAGAACACACACACTGTGATGGTTGGAAGGATGCGGTTGTTTCTCTGTGGGGA